CCTTCTGCTGCAAACATATCACCTGCATTGTTTCAACTATTTTTACAGTTTTTTAGATTTTTAAAGGTTGGCGATGGATATAACTGAAAATAATCCCCTTTTATTCTGCATTAGTTTACAGCTGGATTGATTTGCAGGCCTAGTTTTCCCATGCAGTTGCATGAGTATTTGTGCCAGCACAAGGGAAGGAGCAAGAATACACACCTTTGTTATGGAGGGAGGGAGGTATTGGACATTTTGACAGCAGCAGGATCTGTTCACAGTCATTAAACTGATTGTGGAATCATGAAAAGGAAAGACTGCTGTTTATTTTGCTTTAAAGACAAGTTTAATAATGTTTCTCATTTGTATGTTACTAAATAACAGGGCTGAATTTTGAAAGCTGAATTAACACTGTTAAAATTTTTGTGATAGAATAATTCTTTGTCACTATTTTAAAGTGACTAGGAGAAGCTGATGACAGGACATTTCATTTTTGTAGCAAAAATAAAATGCATGTTTATGTCTATCCCATAGTGAGAGTTTCAGGGAGAAAATCTTAAGAATCCAGGAGAAAATCTTAAGAATCCAGCATTTAAAATTAAAGTATTTTAAAGGTCAGCTTGTGAGTATTGATGTAGTGGTATTTCCATAACAAAGTTATTGTTGCTATTAATAATTTTGCTATTGGCATAACCTTTAATTTTCTTTAAAAAGAGCCAACAACTTTGAATTCCATTCTTTGGCAAAATTAATTTGTAATAAGCATGGGATTATGTAGACTACACACAAGCACACTTTAATAGGCATTGTAAACTAACTATCAGCCTTCCTTACCTGCAGTATTTGTGTGTTTCATGATTCTGTAATTGTGAATAAACAGACTAGGAAAGGACCTTAAGAGATTTCCAGTTGATTCCTTGCCTGTACATAATGAATTATATCTATCTCTGATGTCTGATTTAACCACATCTTAGTGATCTGCAGAAATTCCAGCCTCCTTAAGTGTCTCCTCCACCCCTATCATTGAAAGAGTTTACTCAATATCTGTCCATGTTGTGCCCACCCTGCTTATTGATTTGTTGCAGTTGAAGGTCTGTCATTAGTTAATGATGGTGGACCTAGAGAATAATGATCCCTTTCCTCTTTGCAGCTCTTCTTACATACTTGAAACCATATTAGGTCCACACTCAGCCTTCTGTGAACAGCTCTGTTTCTTTTGGTGTATCTAGTAGTCAGCCTGCCGTGCTTTCTAGACCTGTAATTGTTTTCTTGCTCTTGTGTGTGGTCTCTGTTTTCCCAATAGGCCTGTTTGTTGAAATTTGGTATTCAGAATGGTCCTGTAAGCCAACTGAGATCATGCTAGCACTGACTGAGAGAAAGGAATACATTCATGACTTGCTACAAGCATTCTTGTCCACACTGAACAGATTTGCACATGTATAACATTCTCGTGCAGTAACTCACCTGCCACCTGGTTTTGAAGCATTTCCTGGTTCTGTATTTGTGTAGTTGGTTATTTCTCTGTAAACTGTGTTGTACTTGTAGCTGTTCAACTCCATTCTATGTCTTCTAGGTACTTTTTTAGTTTTTATAATCTGTCAAGACAGCCTTGAACTCTGATCTGCTTTTTGCATGTACCCCTCTCTCTTCTAGTTTTTCTGTGGTCCAAAAAATGAAATAGTCAATTTCCATTGTTTCCAAACCGTCCATTACCCAGTAAGTTCTAAATAAAGCTTTGGAGACCTTCACTGAAATTACTTTGGTTTTATGTAAGCTACTCTGCAATTATGATTTTTCCAACTGTATCAGTTCCAAGAATATGTTCCTTTACTTTTCTTATGATGAATGTCTTGAGAGTTAAATTGTATTAGAGACATAGAATCATAGAGTGATTTTGGTTGAAAGGAACCTTTAAAGTTCATCTAATCCAGCCTCCTTGGCATGGGCACAAACATCTCTCACCGGATGAGGGTGCTCAAAGCCCCAGGAGTCCATAGAGGACGTGCACTCAAGCAGTAGTGCAATTAGTTCTTCTCAGAGTGAAATTAGTTCAATTTTAGAGGTTGCTCTTGACATGTCATTGTTGGCTGTGACTTCTGTTTTCTTACAGGTGTGTACAAATACATATTAATAGGTTGACTATAAAGAATGAGTCCAGTAAACAGTGCTGAAGTGACTGGATTTTAAATTTCTCTTTTGCTCTCAGCCAAATTCTACCTATTGGTGTGAATAAAATTTGTAAGGATTTCCTAATGTTTTTCTTTTTGCTGCATCAAAAATATTGCCAGTATATTCAGAAACTTCACTAGAAATTGTTTCTCATGTCTAGTTCATTAGCTGATGTAGCTGAAATCTGCTGTTATCAGCTCAGTCAACTGCAGTAGATGAAGAGCATGGAAGGCCTGTCTGCTCAGTGTTCCTGATTCACTTGCCTAAAACAGACTTCCAACCTGACTGAGGCACCTGCTCACTGTATTAACAAATAAATACAGATAAATTCTCCTTTAATGTATGGGATTGTAAATCAAGAGTATGCAGTGTACAGCAAAACTACTTTTCTTTGCAAATGGTCTCTGGGTAGGCTTTCTGCCTCTGTAGATAGTACTAGCAAGTACTTAAGCTGATTACATTATGTGAGTTGAGTCACATCCATGTTTGTTCCTTGTTTTATGGCTGTTAGTAAATAGTCTGTTGAGCCTCAGAGGCGTCATTCCATTTGCCAGCTTTTGTTCCTCCTTGTTGTTACCCCTTCCCACCATTCCTGTATCCTTGTCCAAAATGCAGTTGTTTAAACGTTGCTGTGAGCCCTTCTCTATCTCACTGCTCATGGTTTAAACTTCTTCAGTAGATTTGTAAACTGGTTAGGCAAGGATGCTGTTCCTTTCTTCTGTGAACTGAAGTTCCCTCATTGCAGATCATTGTGCAATCTGCATTTATGTAGTGGGCTTGTTTTGCATGGTTTTCTGGTTTTGTTTGTTAGGTTTGGTTTGTTTGGTTTTTTTTTTTTTTTTTTTTTTTTTTTTTTTTCAATTTTGGCAGATGGGTCTTGGGGGGGG